AACTGTATGTATTTTATCACTTGTTTGTATTATTGAGCTAACACTTAAACCAATGTAGGAGCAATTATTTTCACCAACAATTTTGAAGTGGATTACCAATTACTGTCATGTAATGAATTGTGAATAACAGTTAGAATAAAGTCCAACTTATTTAAAATTCTTCTGTTAGCTGCAAGCACAGCTCCACAAATTACCTACTTGATCAGTTAGGTATTTAGTATTCTCTAATGATTGTTTCCATCCAAGGAGATGATCCAATCTTGAGGATAATTATTTTTTTAAATGCACTGCAACTTCAACAGAAGTTTTATGCATAATAACACATCTTTTCTACCTTTGGCAAACTAGTGATCTTAACAATTTATACTTTATAAGTCAAAGAAACTCATTCCATTCCAGCCAAGACTATGATTTTTTTCAGTTTCTTTTATGAAGGACTTCATACTTAAAGTTTCATATTTTAGCAGCTGGTTATATTTCATTTGACTGAACTGAAAATAGCCATCTCATACATGGACAACTAAGAAGTGTACCTCTATTTACAATTCATTGAGTTAGTAGAGATTTCACCTCTCACACAGCAAAAACTTCAAGCAAGGTGCTTTAAATCTTTGTCAATTTCAAAAGAAACCAAACTCCAAGCTAGACAGGGTTTCTTCTTTGGTGGGCCTTCTGCAAGCAGAGGCTGATTGTTACTCACAAAACCTTACAAGTGAACTAGCTTGTGGAAAATTGCTCCACATTTTTAAAACATAGCTTAAATTCCATTATCTGAGATTTTATTGGAGACTTTAAATCCTTTCAGTCTTCTAAAAAAAAACTCTCTGAAAATACAAATTCCTGGGAGAGTTAATCCCTTAAGCCAAGAGAGCAGCTATCGTCTTTGTAAAATAATTTAGAAATGAGATGCGGGATTTGGGCAAGGAGATAAAATCAAGAGAGGAGAGGGCCAGAAAGCCAAAATTAATTTTTTGGCCTATTTTACAATTTTACCAATCACCAACCCTCATAAGAATTCAGGTAATAAATGAATCATAAATATAAGCCCATACTAAATTAGTCTTGAATATGAATTTATCTTCTAAAATATTTCAAAATATCAATCTGATAACTCTAGATAATACCTTATTTATAGATAGCTCTTCTCTTAGATCCACTCTCAAAAACATAAGCTCACAGTATATTCCTAGGAGTAGAATTGTTATGTCATAGGATATGAGTACCATCAACTTAACTTGATAATGCAAACTAATTTACAAAGAAGCAGTTTGCCAATTTACACTGGAGAGATCCAGCTGCTCTTTATCCAGGCCAACCCTTGATATTGTCAAACTTACTAATTTTTGCAAGTCTGGTGTGTGTGTAAAGGCATCCCACTAATCTACATAGCCCTGAGGCTATGAAATGAAGTTGAGCACCTTTTTCATAAATTTTATCAACCATCTGGATATCCTTTATTATGAAACAGTGAAATGCCCTTCACATGTTTTGCTCTTTTTCTGTAGGGTTGTCTTCTTTCTTTGTTTTGCAAAAGTTTTCTTCCATTCTGTGTCTAGTCTTTTCTGCTTTTTTATGTTGTCTTTTGACACAATTTTAGTGTAGTCAATTTTTCCCTTATGTTTAGTAATTTTTGTGACTTGTTTAATGTCGTTTAACTCTTGAGGTATATGTGTGACTGAACTATTATGCTGTACACCAGAAACTGACACAACATTGTAAACTGACTATACTTCAAAAATACATATATTGAATCAAAATTTGACCAATCCTTATTTTTTCCATTTACTGAACAAAATTGAACTTGGAGGGCCCTTCGAGAAGAAGCCTGATCCTTCTTCCTCCTCTTGACTTTTCTAGTTTTGCCTTCTTCAGACTAAACAACACTAAGATTCTTTCATTCTTCCTTGATGTCCTAATTTCATGTCCTCTCATCATCCTAGCTCTTCTGAAAGAAGGGGCTGATATTCTGAATTATAAAATTGACCAACAGAAAGTAGAAAATACTGTCACCTTCCTTACCTCAGATATAATACCTTCATTAGTGTGTTTACTTTTTTAAAAGCCACTTTCCACTGCTGTTTTTGTATGTCATCTATGACTAGCCTTAATAATGACATAAAATTAAATGTTTATTTGTTAACACTATCAAATAGAACTCTATTCCTATTTAAAAAGTGATTGAGTCTAGTATTTCTATAGTTCTCTCATTCTTAAAAAATAACGTCAATTATGTTGCTTATGTACTTAGAAATTATCCCAGATGGTTCAAAACACACACACACACACACACACACACACACACACACAGAGTTCTTGAGAGAAAATAGAACCACTTCTAGTATAACATGTATCTAAGAGACTTTTATATTTCACTCTTTAACATGTAAAGGTAGATATTCTTTGGTCACTTCGTTTTCTTAACTAATCTTTTTTTTTAAGTGGAATAAGGAAAATTCTGTTTCTCTGTATATTCACAGTTCTCAGCATGTGAATGGGACATTAGAAAGATTTTTTTTTCTAGCATAGCCAGTTATAATTTTGAAGTCTTTATTCAATTGTAGAGGGTTTTTTCTTTTTAAGGAATTATGACTGATGATTTAAAAAACTCAATTATTCCTAGCAAAATTCCATTATCTCATTTCCCAAGGGTTACTAGTGAGTTCTGCCCCACCAGCCAGGATATACAAGAACTCTGTTTTAAAGCAGTCCCACATGAATGCCTGTTTCTCCCTTATATTCTCCGTGACTGGGAATCACCTCTCTCAAAAACACAATGCCATGCTGAATGTGCGTTTCTCATTAAAATGTGACCTGTTACCAGGCTGGTATCTGTGCTCCTCATTCAATTAACTCTTTAGCCAAATTCACACCCACATATTTTGGACATTCTTCTAGCCTAAAGCTGCACCCAGAGCATCTGTTCTGTGCAAAAGATTAATGGAAAAAAAATGTGTGTGCAGGTCAGGGCCAGCATAGTGATTGCACATCCCCCTTCTGGTGCTTTATCAGCCCACAAAATGTATGAGACAACTATCAGATATGTGGAGTATGGCTTACTCTAAATCTTAAAATTTTTAAATTTATAGATGGGAAGGCAGTGACAAAAAATCTTAGAGAACATTTCCTTTCTTTCTGTTTTAGCTCTTGGTCATTTGATAACCTCTTAGGGTTTTTAATATTAGACTCTTAAAGAAAGTCCTTTCCTTGAGATATTCTACTATAATCAAGAATCTAAGAAAATTTTGAAGGGGCAGAGATTTCCCACAAGTAGAAAGAACAAGGAAAATACTATTTTAAATCTTAAAATAAAGGGGAAAAAAGCTTATATACATTTGCTTTTACCCAGAAATTTCTTTTTCTCTTTTCTCTATATTATCTCTAAAAAAAAAAAAAAGTAACTGATTCTGGGAAGCAGAACTTAACACATATTTTTTTAAAATGTATTTTTAAAATATAGATGTTATTGTATAGTTTACTGTACAGGAATTATACTACAATATGGGTGTTAAAAAATAAAATAAAATATAGATCTTGATATGGGTATATTTTGTTTTTTTAATCAATACCATGCATAAAGAGGACAGTAACTAGACATTATTCTCAAAATCTTCCAAGTAATACTATATAAATACTTAGCCAAATTTCCCTTTTGTGTGTAGAGAGTTAAATGGTCATAGAGATGATTAAATAAGCCTCACCTAGTTATGCCTAAGGAAATGAGTTTAGAGAATATATAGAGAGAACTATTTTTTCATAAGCAAAAGTATAATATTTCTCCCTATTCCTCTACTATATACCAGGGCCATTTGCTATCCAGGCAGAAAGAAGCCAACATCTTCAGACACCATGTGGTAGAACCCAGTGAGTTCTTTTGACCAAAACAATGAGAATTCTCTGTTCTGGCCACTAGATGTTGTAGCCATCTCTCTAAAAGTCCTGTTGGTGACCTTGACTAGTTAGTAGTCCCTCACAGCATTCTGTGCTTAGAATAGCTATGGTGATTGCCGCTCATTCTCCCTTCCGAACTGTAAAAACAGAATTGAGTTTCTTCCCTACACTTAGGGAGGCAAGAGTAGAACCTAAGAACTGACCAATAAGTGTGGCAGAGGTAACAGTGAAACTACTGTGGAATTCTCTGTTCCTAACCTCCTGCCCTAAGGATAGGTTAATTACAGAAACACTGACAGAACTTTGTAAGAAAGCAGTGTCAACTACAATGTATTCCCACAGCATTGGCCAAAGACTGAAAGTAATGTCACAAAAAGAACTAAACTAAAAGAGCAAACGCTAATCCCTAAAAATATGACTTTCATTCCCCATCCGGCAGAATTTGGGTGCAACTTTGGCTTATTATGATTCTCATTTCTTAAAAATGAAAATAAGAGTCTACACAAACTATTCTCCAATGTTTGTCTTTTCCTTATGAGTCAGACACTGGTTATTTATATTTTAAATAGTTTTCACTATTTTTTCCCCATCTTTTTAACTTAAATTGACACCTCTGGAAGGTTAGTGTATCTGAATGAATAGAATTAACAAGCCTATACATTTGCTTTTTTTCAGGTAGCCAAGTAGAAAAGACAGCGGCTTTGCTGAAAAGTATTATCCCAGAGCACCCTCTTATGGCAAAATGCACTAAGGAAAGTGCTTGCCTGGGAAAAGTCAAAAGTGTTTCAAACCTTTAATATAAGGGGATAAATACTGCTTTTCCACTCTTAAGACCTTTTCTCCATTTTTGATGGGAAATTAAAAATTTCCTTGGCACTCAAAAGAATAGTCCTCAATTCACTTTATAAGTAGATTCATTTACTACAAAAATTAATTTCTTTCATGCTAGAACAAAGAACCCTATACTTTTATTCAATCATGGTAAACCTAAATGAACCCAGTTTTCATACTCCTGGTAAGCTTAATTCTCCAGTTGGATTTCTTATACCACCAGCTGGACTTGAAGGATTTTGTGACATGTCATCTTTCATTAAACCATTCACACCACTAACCTCTGAACTCCTCTTGGCCGCCAGCTTCAGAGCCTGTTCATGTTATGAGCACCATACGAACTGTTACTCACTGAACAGGATCACTGATTCTTACTGTTAAGATCCAGAATGACTACAGCTGTAAACATGGTTCTCTGGAGGGTTTTTGCTGCAGCTGGAAAGACAAGAAATGAGAAAATTCTGACCCAAACAGGCAAATGTTTATAGTAATTTAGCATGACAGGAAATTCACACATAACTTCTGTTTCCTGCTATTTTTTAACTCGTATTTTAGGGTTTTCAAGTGTTTTTGTTGTATGTTAAGAATAAATCTCTATGCTCTTGTATTAAACTTCAGAAAAAAGGCATTCAAATTTCAATGTATGATAGAACTTGTTTTAATGGCATCTTTAAATGCTATCAAGAAAATAACATTATACATTGAGTTTTTCTATTCCTTTGAGAAAACATTCTCATTATTAATCTACAGTCATGTTATCCTGAAGGCACAATATAAATCCCATCATAGCAGGGTTCCAAAAAGGTTAGGTCTAACTAAAGAAGACTGAGCCCTGCAAAGTTAGATGAGTTTTATGTGTTAAACATGGGGCCAAAGCCGGGGATGATGACTTGAGAAACAGTCTCACAAGCACAAGACTAAATACCAGGTTAGAAGGGGCAAGGGCAGGAGGGATTATTATTAGAGAGAAGGCCCAAATCAAATGTCCAAACCAGCTGTTCCCCACCATGAGTGGGCCATCTGCTGCTAGGGTTTGGGTCCTCGTGGACAGAGATGGGGCATCATATCCCCAAAGCATCCAGGAGTGGGCATATCCTGAGAGGTAAGTCCAAGTAAACTCTCCTAAAGAGTTCCAAGGAGCAATCCTGGTAACCAAGATCAAGAATGTCCAGTGAGCAGGAAACATGACCGAGAGCCAGAAAGGGGGCCAGAGTGGATCCTGGGCACTAACTGTGACTGGAGCTTGCCTTGTTCTGATTGTTGAATAGGGCTGGATAAAAGTACAGGGTGAGGGGAGAGAGACAGAAACAGAGAGACAGAGACTGGGAGATTGAGAGACTGTTTAGCCATGAACTGGGACTTTTAAAATGTTTGTTTCCTTCTCTTCCTCCCACCAAAATGTCCCTGCACTCAAAATAGAACATAAAATGTGGAATACTTATTACCTTGCTTTGCCTACAAGATCCATCATGAGTTCAAATCATTCTGTTTATTAGTTCAAAGAGAAAACCTTTTTTTTTTTTTTCTAAAATCAATCCAGTGGATTGGTCATAACCTAATCTTTGGTCTTTCTCTAGAGAAATATTAGTTCCAGGGGACTCTTGAAGCCTCTTTTTAACCAGTGATTTATCTTGCCTCATCCTTCCTCACCTGCCCCAGCCTTGGCCTTGAAGAGGACTGCGCGTCCAACTGAACTTTAAGTACTTGGTAGCTGAATATCTGCTCTAGTTTCAGTGGTCGGTCCCTCCACTGGCAATGACAGCTCCTTATTCCAGAATTTCCCAGAAACTACCATAAAAGTCCAGTAGAGGTCACCTTAATGCCACAGGCAATGGATGAGGAATGTCAGAGTTTCATTTCTCCTAAAAAGGTTATGAAATAAGTGTTGAAGTTTTAAAAAAAAAAGTGTAATATAAAATTAGAAATAAATTCTGTCTTTCCCATGCCATAGAACACGGTGCTCCCAGAATTTCAAACACATGATACTGAAAATGCTCACGGAAATTATGGAAAAGTGAGAGAAAATCAGCTCATTGCTTCTCAAAAGTCACATTTACTACTTATTCCTTCATGTTAGATCAGAACCTGTATGACTCCAGAAAGACACTAGGGCAGGCAGGATACCTAACTTGGAGATGGTACATTCATGGGTATTGGAAGGTCTATGAACTCAAAAACTGTGTGCATTTTTCTGAGGACAGAAAGATCTTCAAAGAGATTCAAGAGATGAGAGAGAGAGATTCAGAACCACTGTAAAAGAACTTTTCTTCCTCCATTCTTTCCTGACACCAAAGAAAATTCAAGAAATCTGGATTGAGAAATCCCCTCTCTGACTACCCCAGCCAGCCAGAGACATATCAAGCAGCTGATGCTTGAGGCCCTGTTCTTTGGAAAGAGCCTGAATGACAGAATTCAAAGGCTCGTAAAGGCTTAGCATTCACCACCAACTAAAAGGTACAAAATAAATGATAATTATTGATAATTAAGGCAGAATGCAGATTGGAAACAAAAGGAAGATAAATGAGAATGGCTCACCAGGACCTGAAACACCAGGCCCTTGGGACAAATGGGGATTATTGACATAGAAAAAGGAGTGGAAACCCCCAGTGTGATGCAGATGTGTTTGAAGCTGAGTGACTGCCTCTTAGAGATGGAAGTCCCCACAGGCCATCTCACCCCTCCCCCACAGCCCAGTGTGGGCTCACAATACCTAGTCTTCTGATGGCTGCTGTCTCATAGGGATTTAAACTGATCAAAATGGAAAGCTTTGGATAAGCAGAGCCAGAGTCTGCCATCAGCGAGAAGTCTGAGAATTCAGAAAGGTCTCAAGTGTGGACAGGTGACGCTGATGGGAAAGAGAATTCAGGGAACTGTGATTTATTTCTGTTGCTTCAGGGTTTGAAGATTTGGGCTTTATGTGTAGTTAAACTATCTCTATGGAGTTTGGAGTTTAGGATGTATTAGAAAATAAAGGCTTTTGTTTTTGACTGTTATTCCTGACCATTCCCATCAACTAAATTTGATTTATTAACAATACCAAGCAAAATTCTGTCCATTTGAGGATGGAGTTAGGTATCCTTGTACCTAACTACTCTACCTAATAATTTGAGGAAATGATCATATTCTCTCATTTTAGCACTGGATTCCATCAGAACTGGCCAGGCTTAAGAGAAGAATTGGTGTTTATACTATGTCTTAAAAGCAAGCAAACTGGCAATCCTAGAGTGGAATCACTTCCAACTGGAGGCATAATCAAGTTTTAGAGCAATTTGCCATCCATTAGTCCTAAAGAGACTAACAAATTTAAAAAAAAAATCAAAGGATTAAACAGGCATCACAGTCTGTAAGCCCTTTGGGAAAAATGAGCCATACTTTCAAGCGAGTAACATCCAGTAGAATACACAAGCAAATAGAAACAAAACCAAGACTGCAAGCCTGATTCTAGCTCCAAAACAAGTTCTGTGATCTTATCTTCTCTTTATCACAGATACTCCATTCGAAGTTATTTAACCAAGTTTCTTCATCTGCAAAATGGAAATAATAAGATCTACCTTGTAAGGACTGGGGGTGTGTATGTATGTGTATGTGTACATGTGTGTGTACATGTGTGTGTGTAAACTATCCCAGCCTTCCTCTCAGGTGAGTGGGTAAGACAAAAATATAACGCACTGTTCAGAAAGCACTTTGAAAAATAAAAATACTATAGAAAGTACTATTCACAGGGGAGGGTATAGCTCAAGCGGTAGAGCGCATGCTTAGCATGCATGAGGTCCTGGGATCAATCCCCAGTACCTCCTCTAAAACTAAACAAATAAACCTAATTATATATCCCCTGCCAAAAAAAAATTAAAATAAAAAAGAAAGAGAGTACTATTCACAATAATGATGTAAAGCACATTGAGGGCTCTCTTCTGAATCATGGAAAACAAAAATAGATTAAGACTTGTTCAGATCTATTGAAACTGCTCTTTCAGCCACTTGTAGGAACAAAAAGAAGTTACCAGAAGGCTTATTCCCACTCAACATTAGGAAAAATTACCCACAGTGGTCCTAAGATAGAAGGGCTGCTTCCGCCTGAGTTATTTGTTACCAGTAGTAGGACTTTAGGAAGGAGAATGAGATGGGAGGGGAATGAGAAAGGGACTCAAGGATGTCCAGATCAACTACTGGCCTGGACTTTATAGTCTTTTCCAAATCTAAAAACTCTTTGCTAGAGAATTATAGAGGGAAATACTACATCAAAGCTATACTCTTGACCTAGATTACTACTCTTGCTTAACTTCCCAGTAAGCATCTTTCTGACACTGGTTGCACTAACTGAAGAAAAAAATGTCATTTCCTGCTTCTTTGCAAATATTCCTAAAAACATTCATAGGGACTAAAAACCTAGCTCTAGGAGACAATGGCTTAAAAAGCAAAAGCTACATTATGACATAAAAATGAATTTTGCAGTATTATTCAGATTGGTCAAAACAAAACTTTCTATGTATGTTTGAATTCAGTTCTCCAGTTTATCTTCTTAATGAAACAGTTGCCTTTTCATAAGAATTCTAAGAAAAGCAAAAATATTTCTTATAAGAGTATCTGAATGCCCATTTATGTTAAGTTTTTTAAACTTAAAATAAGCTAGAGGCCACCAAACAGATCTCGTCTGTGGTATAGGTAAAGTAGATCCAAGGCAGAGAGCCTCCTTTGTCTCAGTGTGTGTATAGACCAGGACATTGTAACATAGTAGAAAAGTGCCTAGGAATCTCTGGAGTCAGACTTCCTGGTGTTGCCATCAGTTAGCTACATGACCTAAAATAAGTTACTTGATCTCTGTACCCCAGTGGTTTCATCTCTAAATGAGAATAACACTATACTTCATGGACTTACTGTGAGGATTAAAAGACAAAATACTAATAAAGCTGCTTGCACAGTCCCCAGGCATGTGAGTGCTTACAAAATAATAGCAACTATTAACACAATGGCTTCATCTGGATGGGTGACAGGTTTTGATTGTAGACCTTTTGAAGTACTTAAAAATGAAATTTTTACTATAGAAATAACATATGCTTATTGTAAAATGTAGAAATGACTACAAAGAATTTTAAAAGGAACATTAAAAATCCCTGATCCTACCAATTGGAGAAAAGGCTATTTAATATTTATGTGTCTTCTATTTTTCCTTGCACACTTTTACCTAGTTGGGGATCGTATGTACCCAGTTCGATAGAATGAGGACTAGAGTTTGGAATCTAGACTGCAAGATTATTTTGCACTTCCTTCAGTGTCATAGGTGACCTATTCCCAGATACCACCTTGAAAACCGTATTTTCCTTTTCCTATTCTTCACTATCTTTTTTCTTCAGGAATTTGCTATCTACTTAGTAAGTACATGGCCCTGTGATCCTTGGCTTCTTAATGTGAATTTTCTCACTTTCAAATATATATCT